CAATGGAACAAGACAATTTACATTTAAAATAAAAAAAAAAAAACAATTGAATTGTCTTATTTCAAGAGCATATTATCTAATTATCTTATTCTAAGAGTAAAAATACTCACCATCTTATTTACCTGCTCAAATTAAGCGTAAATAGACTTTATTTAATTTTGACTTATTTCTAGATAGTTTTTGCAGTGTAACTCTTACAAAAAACCAGTGGCCTCTCTGGAGAAGATGTTAACATAAAGGTTTTCTAAAACTTAGACAAACATCGGCCAGGATTAGAGGACAAGCTGTTGCATTCAGACTAAATTATTTGCTTTTCAGTTGAAATGTTTAGTATCTTTCTAACTTTAGAGGTTTAAAATGACTTATTTCCTCAAAAACACCTGGCTTATTTGCAGAGATGTAAAGCTTTTTAGGTCTACTCTAGCTTGCACTTATGAACTATACAGAGTTTGAATTTGCATGTCTACCTTGGCTCTAGATTAAATCACCAAGATATAAATCCTTGTCGCCATGGGGCAACCACTGGAGCAGCAGGATTATCTCCTAGTGAAAGACCTACTTTTGTAGACCGTTTAGTTGTTCTCAGACTCTCAGCCATGACTCAGCTCATCATATCAGAAACCCAGTGAACTCTAAATGAATCTTCAACAGACCAGAAGAGTCCCCATATACTCCATTAACAGCTATGGAGATTACATCACAGACAAACTTTAAAAAGGAAAACTCTGACAGGGCATCCACCTACCCAGACTTCTCTCCCTCTCCTCGCGTCTCTCTTTGGCTAAACGCATCCTGTCATCAGTTTTCATGTAGCCCTCCTGACCTGAAAGATTAGTGTTGATGTTAGGAAAAGTAGGCAGAACTGAAGTAGGGATGTGATTGTTAGGGAGGAATACCCACTTTGTTTCCCTCCATGATTGTTACTAGTTAGATGTGAAGGGGAGGCATGTCCATTCATGTGTGGCTTCTTCTCTGCGTTTGATGGAGCTGGAATCAAAATAACCCCCTGGAGGTTAAAATACATTCTTGGATTGTCCTGAGAAGGCGAACACTGAGCTGTAGCACTCATTTTCTACCAGCAGGGGAAAAAAACAAAACATTTTACTCTGGCTCATCTGCATTAAATGCATCATGCTGCAGAATGCCTTATGCCAGGCAGGAGGTGCAACACAAGGCCGGAGAGATGTGCTCATCATTTCACATATGCTGACTCTCGCTTCTTGTTAGCGTTGCTGAGCTGTAACCATCTCCTCTGTTAACACTGAACTCAGGCTAATAAAGCCTGCAGATAAAGTTTCCAGAAACCTTCTCAAAATGAAATAGTATTCCCAATCATTATGCTTTTTCATCCAGATGATATCATGTGGCCGGCATATGGGATTAATGTGACTGAATATAATGAGAGAGATGATTACTCACTTGTTCTTCCAGTTCGTACAGGAGAGCTGTCACCATTTGTTGGAGATTTCTTCTCAGGAAGCAGAGAAATGGATGGTGGGGCCATCTTTTCACCTAATGCACAATGCAAGGAGCCACACAAAACATGTTTTTGTCGGGTTTTTTTTTTTTTTGCATTAACAATAAAGTGCAGGGAGAGGATATGCTCTAGAAGTGTAATTGCAAGCTGGGTGGATGATGACTGTTAGCCAACGTTTAGGGGAAGCTGATGGAGGAAATATCTGTCTCATAAAATGCGCTGAAATAAACCTGTAACATGACAAAGACAAGTGATAAAATGTGTGATTAAATAAAACATTATGATAAATTTTATTATAATAAGTTTTATTAAACCGTTTCAGTAGTTTAAAGACATTTTGTTGTGGTGTAAATGAAAGTATTTTAGTGATGTCTTTACTGTTGCTGTGGACTGCCAGTCAGCAGGCCTAAATGTGGTCCCTGGATCAAGAACATGATAAAATGTACATTTTTTGTCCTATAAGATTTTTTAAAATCAGAATTGTCATACTGTTGAAATCTAATGCACCGCAATTAAAATTTTGCTGATTTTTTCCATCAAAAATATTTTTTTCTAACTAATAAGTATACTAGATATGGATGTTCTCTTAACTGACAATCAGTTAAGCAGGATAAGCTGAATCTTATTAAGTCTTCCTGATAACAACAGAGTGAAATGCCATTAAAAAAAGATTTAAAACCACAAATTCGCAAAATTAATACGTACATTGCTGCATAAAATGGTAATGAATAGGTTTACAGTCAGGGGTAATATCTGTCACCTAACTAACACTGACCAGATTCTGCTTTAACTTTGCTTTAGCCAGAGCTGATCACAAACGACTCCACTGGTTGAATTGAATGATTAAAACATTTATCACTCTTCCCAAAGCCAGAGTTTAATGATGTCTTCACAGAGCATGAAAAGAGCCATTAGATAATGAATCAGGTGGTTTTAGAGAAGCCATTACATTTTTAAGGCACTGGTGCCTCTAATTGGAGGACTATGAGGGAATGGCCTCCCCCACATCCTCATTTGTTCATAAATGCAAACTCCTACAGACCCTAAATCATGGCTGCAATACTGTTTCTTTTTAGTTGCCTTTATTCTTGCAGAAGCAGTGAACACTGAAAAGGGCTGATCTCTCCTCATTAAATCTAATTTGATCACTGGCCTGCAGGGAAATGCCCTCTTTCAGGGTGGGGAGGGTGCGGAAATTGACATAAAAAAGTGAAAGGTTAATCTTCATCCCAGCTTGTAAATAAAATAATAATAAAAAAAACATTAAATGTTTATAGAAAGCAATGCATTTTGAAGTGAGGCATAGTTTCTATTGATCTGCTGTTTTGATTGTCTGGGCTTTCAAAGGGAAAACAAAGAAAACACACAAAGAAGGGTCAGTTTTCTTTAAAAGTGTTTATAAGCTACTTAAGTTTTTGATAGAAAAAACATGAAGATTTGATAAAAAAAAAAAAACAACAGATACAACAAATGAAAAACGGAGAAATGCAGACATCACACAGGGTAGCGGTGGAAATCCGTTGCGTCATGCTTGAGTCTGCTTTTAATCCCGGAATAAACACAACAGCTCCGCTTCAAACCTGCCCGAAAACAAACCCTGGGTGAAGCCTACCTGTCACTGCGTTGGATGACGCGTTGGTTTTCGCCATGGACCTTAGATGCGATGCGAGCCAGATAACAAAGAAAGGAAAGAATTAGCTGTTGTCCCAGCAGATGGGTCCGCAGTGATGCTGATGCTGGTCCCCGTTTTTCCTCCCAAACAGCAGCAGATCATCAAAGAGGGGGAAGAGACAAAGAAAAGCGTTGAGCTAAAGAGGCTGAAGGTCGTTAGGAAAGGCTGAGAGGACGTGGATGATGAGATCGATGCGGCTGGATGATGGAGCTCATGCGGTCAGGAGCAGCCGGCCAAGCGTCGCAGCGTGAGCGCGCTCTGGTCACGTAGAGCTCAGCACGCGGCTTATCCTCCGACAAAACACCAATGATTACGCAATGACAGCCGTCATACATATATATATATAAATATATATATATATATATAAATGTGTGTGTGGGGGGGTGTATGTACTGTATGTATGTATGATTAATTAATACACATACATATGACTGAAAAATAAAAATATATTTATATATTTTAGATATATATTATATATTCTCATTAATTAGGTCAGAAGTCTGTTTGTTTGTGTATTAATAAATCAACTAACCAACATGTTTTCAATCCTTTTCTCCCCAAAATTATGATATCCTACCTGCTTTTGATGAAAACATGATTTTCAAGTTCATAACATTACATCCCTTAAAAATTGTAAAATTTTGGTAATATGTAAAGCATCTTCAATTTCTTATATTTTATTTTCAATTTAATTCAATTATACTTTGTTAATCCCCAAAGTGAAATCAAGACATGATGTCCAAGGCCTTGTTGTCAAGAAAGGCCCTGTCCGTGTAATGTATTTTGATTTTTCAAAATGAGTCTAATCAGAACTCATATTATCATTTATTCAATATAATTTAGAGCTTGGCAATTCATTAATTTAATTGATTAATTAAATTTTCTGTTTATGAAGATGTAATGTTTGGCAGATGTGGATTTTTTTCCCCACCAATGCACTTTTTGGGCTTCCATAGATCAGAGTTATATTAGTTGATCAGTGTTTGGTCATAGATGCATATTCATCATAAACTAGGTCACTGTGTAATACCACTAGCTGCAAACATTTAGTGCTATATTTTCACTGTTTACCCTCAAGGTGACCATAGGGAATGATATAAATAAAGCCTAATTTTTGACAGTAATCTGTAATTTTGATGTTTTTATTATGAAATTTAAGGGAGAAAATAATTGATTGGAGCACTCAAAACTAAGATTTTTTTTTTGGCCATACAACCCAGCCCTAATATGATTATATAGCCAGTCAAGCTCATCAAATAGAGTAAACCTAAAATAATAATGAAAAAATAAGTACAATAACAAATAAGGTACATAAAAAAGATCCATCACAAAATGTTCTGGCCCATTATTTGGGTAAATAATGCTGAAAGGTAATTGTTCAGTTCACACTATCTATAAGAACAGTAATGCCAGGTTTAGACCGCAAGCATTGGAAGCAGCAAAAAAGCGCCTGATGCTTCATGCTTTCATGCTTGTACACAATAAGGTCAGACATGTGTCATCTTTGATGCTCATGAAGTGTGTCCAGTAAAGTGTGTCCAGATGCGTCTTCTGCTGCTCCTGCATTCAATGGCAGAGAGCGGCTTTGCTATATCTGCTCTTATAAGTGGGTAAAAAAGTAGCTTCTGCTGCCTCTAGCGCGTGCAGTCTGAACGCATCATTAGCCACTAAATATCATTTTTAAATTCTTGTCATTCACAAACAGCTGCTTCTATGAAAAAAAGATGTGGTGGAAGGAAAGTGTGGAATGAAAAATATTCAAACATGGCTAGTGCAATAAGCAAAGGACATTCAAGAGTTTGTGTTTACTTCAGAAGGCTTAAGAGGTGATTAAAACACTGTTATAAAAGGCCCAGTCAACAAAACAAAGAAAATGTGTCACATCAGTACTAAATGATGAATAGCTCTGATGTTGTTTTTGTAATATATCCTCATACATATGAAAGAATGAAATCAAGGACATTCAGTCAACATGCTTTAAGCATGGATTGGCATGGGTTTAATCTATGTTATCTGATCGCAATAATCTTTTTTTTCTCTTTTTTTTTCTCATCACAGAAATAACTTTCTTACTGATTCCGTTTCACTCTTTCAAACTGTAACATAAAGACATGTGGAAATAGTTAAGGGGAAGCGACCCACTTTTCTTCATGGTGCAATATCACCAGCCAGAAACCTAAAGGATGGTAAAAGTGAAACAACATAAACTTCAAGCAACTAGTCACTAAAGGTGTTTTTAATACTAATCATATACAGTCAAAGTTAATTCTTGTACTATTCTTGTTTTATTTTTTGTTCACTTCATTGAATTCTTCAGTTAATACAGGCCGTAGAGCAAAAATAAAAATCTAATAAATAATCAATTTTTTTTCAATGGGATGGTGACTGATTGGATGGATGAGTGGCATGGTCGGTTTATATGTTAGTATAAAGTTCAAATTCATATATTAAGCCCCTCAACTAAGTATGGAGTAGACCACCTGCTTATTTTATAGGCGCACTCAGCTCCTGTTTATAAATTTAATGCTATACTACATTTCTATGTACTTTGTTTTTTATTTCAATTTTTTTCCAGAATTGTCTCTAAAACCTATAAGTATTTAATACTAAAAAAAATATTTTTTTCCTGTTTTGTCCTTATTTCAATTTATATATATATATATATATATATATATATATATAAGTGGTTTTAATTTATATCTGTGGTTCAGTGTTACATATAAAAAGAGAGGTGGCAATAGTTATGCGAAGAAGAAAGAAAGGAAGGTGTTTCTATAAAATCCAAAAGAGAATTGGACAAATGAGAAGAACAGAAAGGAACAGAAGAGAAGAGATAATTACTTCACGACTTAGAATAGGACACCCAGGATTGAACAAGTCATTATTTTTAATAGGGAAACATCTGACAGGGAAATGTGACTGTAGGGGAGATGAGAGAGTGGAACATGTTATTTTGATTTGTAGGAAATATTTGATTCAGAGAAACAAGTTAATTAGGAAACTTAGTCATATGAAAATGAAACTTGACATTGTTGATTTACTGAAAAAAGGAATTAGGAATCAGGTTATGTTTGAGTTTTTGAAACAGATTAAATTGTATAACAGGATATAGTTTTTTATTGTTGTTGTTTTTTTTTCTTTTGTCATGTGGTCCACACTCCTTACCAGTTGGTGGCGGTAATGCTCACCTAACGTTTTTCCCAACCGCCGTAAAAATGTCAACAACAAGAAGAAGAAGTGTTACAGTTGTCAAGTCCATCCGCTCGCGGCAGCACCGGTTTAGCTGTCGGTATTCAAGTGCAAAGAAGAAGAGGAGGCGCCATCGGACCCGGAAGGACAAATCAGTGGCTGGGTAGAAGGACGGGTACGTGTTGTACCTTGCTGGAGGGAAAGATGCTGACCAATATTTCCACCGTACTAAGGGCCTGCGCTCAGAGAAATGTAAGTGAAACTTTTTATCAAACCAAGGCGTGTCTTAGCTCGCATTTAGTTAACCTACCTAACCATGAAACCGTGTTTGTTTATCCCTAACAACCTGTCAGCTGTTTTCTGACCTTGTGAGCCCGGCCGGCTGATAGCAGGTCGCGCTAACAAAGCTAACTCCTGCAAACATATCCACTATAATTCACATTTTTTTTTAGCCCTTTGACCTGCAGAAACTCAATTATTTAGTTAAACGTACATTGACATTGTAAATCTGATTACCCGAACCCAGATGTTGTTGTAAAAGGCAAAGTTTCAAAGCTAGCTTGTTTCAAAACAAGTCGGTATGCTTTGAAGTGCATAATAGAAGTTACAGGGTTATAAAACATGTAATATTAACACAAATCTTCACATTTTTTGCATTTTGACAGTAACATAAAACGTGTTTGTGTAGAAACTGTGATATTCCTCATCTAAAATAGTGGTGTCAGTAGGTATGTTGGTAAAGATTTCACCAAGAAATGTTAAATTACATTAATATCTACTACGTAGGTTAAAGTTAAGACAGCTGTAGTATTTCCTAAGCAAGTTATCTTTTATTTCAGAATAGATTGAAAGCTGCTAAAAGCTATGATTGAAGTTGATTAATAATATCTTAATAAGAAGTTAAGTAGATAATGCTATGAATAATTAAAAAAACAAGCAATGGTTGTAGTAGACCTGTAATAGCTGTGTTATTCAGTCAAAATTATATCTTAGGTCCCCATTTTACAATGGGGACCTAAGATATAGCTGTTATTATTGTCTAAGCATGCCCTTTCAAACATTCTAATAACATTCTGAAATTAAATAGAAATCTATCTTTTGAAGGAAAAATACATACCAAAACCTTTCCATTTTGGCGTATACACACTTGAATGATTAACCTACAGATTATTTGGTGGATAAAAGAAAAAAAATGATCTTGTTCAGGTAAAATAAGGTATCAGTTTGTCAGTGTAACATTAACAATGAAACGTAGTTATGCTGTTGGCACCCAAAAAAAAAAACAAAAAAAAAACAACAACGAATAATATTAGATAAGTTAGGGGTGGGAGGTGGAAACACATTAGCATCTGTGACTCACTTTATAATGAAATGGTCTCTATTGGTTGACAGATGTTGTGAAACTCTTGCTAGTAATGAAACCTTTAATGCTGTTGCTTTTCCTCCGCCTTTGACAGGGAGCTGCAGCGGTTGTGTCGGCACGAAACTATGCTGACTTCACCTCCCAGGCTACCTTTGAAATAAAGGTAAGATTTAAACACATCAGTGGATCTTGAAGCGTGGAAAAGGGGAATAATAAGATTTTAAGATCCTCTCCTACAGATTAATTAACATAAAATTTCACCAGTAGGGCAAAACATTTAAAACTGTATCAAAAATCGATATAAGAACAAGAGTACCGCTTGCGTAATTCACTACACAAAATCAAATTCTATTAAATTGTTGAACACAGATTCAAGTTGCTAACTTTATACGTCCTTTTTTTTTCACTTGTCTGAAGAAAAGTGACGTCTTCAAGCTGGACGAGGCCCCCGCCACTGAGGTGGTTATGACCCGGGATGAGGGGCTGCAGTACTACCGCACCATGCAGACTATGAGGCGGATGGAGCTGAAGGCAGATCAGCTTTACAAGCAGAAGATCATTAGAGGGTTCTGTCACTTGTATGATGGCCAGGTGAGAATATACTTTAGACCATACAGAGCAGAATACAGAATCACTGTTAATTCAGGAATGTTTTAGGTTATAACTTTAAAATGGAAGACCTTGAGAGGGAAACAGATCTTTAAGGAGAGCAATGCATAAAATAAAGGCTATTTTTTTTCAGAACATTTATAAATGTGAAATGCGTCTTTTTTTTTTTTTTTTTTTTTTATTGTTTTTTTTTTCCTTTGCAGGAAGCTTGTGCTGTAGGGATCGAAGCATCGATTAAGCCAACAGACCACCTGATCACAGCGTACCGTGCACACGGCTACACTTTAACAAGGGGGGGGACTGTCAAGGAGATCATGGCTGAACTCACTGGTGAGCCCACAGTGCCAGCTAATTCATCTTATGATTGATTAATTTCCCTTGCAGATCTAGACCTGTATTCTATGTTCTTAATGCACAAATCCAAATTATTTTTTGTGGTTGCTCCAATTAGGTTTAAAATGTAGCCTGTACCTGACTTCAGTGTGAACTGATTTAGCACCAAACTGACCTGCATAAGAACAATAAAAAATGTTGACACGCAGCTTAACATTAAACACAGAGGAATAGATGTTATAGTTTAAGTGAACAATAGAAGCCATTTATTGTTGTGTGGGAAGAGCATAGATAAAAGGAGAGTAAACCCCTTTATTGTTACATCTTATTGAAATCTGCAAATTTAGCAAAACAGACTGGATGCAAACACAGTAAGCGATGGTGGGGCAGGAATTTTATCAGTTTTACGGGGACTTTTATTCAGAACCTTAACATATTTTACTCATTTAGCCAGCAGCTCTCCTCCCAACTCTAAAAGTGGAAGACTTGATGCCACCCAATGTTTTGGGCTTCAACATTGGACAGATAGACACGTGCTTGTAAACCATGGCATTTTAAAATCTTCTGTTTGAAGGGTTGTATGAAAATGTATCTAAACGAACTGTTCCACATCCAAATGGTTCCTATGAGCCTTTCAATTAGGCTTAAATGAGGTGTAATCTCTGTTTATAAGCTGGCCTCGCTGTCTCCCTCTCCATTTTTCAATACTTTCTCAGCTCTCGTCTATTTTGCTAACTGCTGCTGTTTCCTGTTGGGTGGCGCAAAGTTGTGATGAATGTGATGGAAAGTGGCGTCAAAGTTGCATCTAATCCACCTTGGTAGTTCCCACTGGAGTCACATCCAGGACCACAAATAAAAGTGGCTCAAATATGACTTAAAAAATTTAAATATATCCCAGATCTGAGCCTTTACATCAGATGTGGGCCCTATTAGCCTGCAGTGGGAATGAAGCCATACAGAAGGGTAAAAGTAGATCATTTCAGCTTCTATTATAAATGCTTACTTAGAAAATTTAAAGTTTTAATATTTTTTAATTTCGGTTTGAAAGAGCACATAGGACTCAGTTGCGCATAATTTACACGGGAGAAGATTTATTTCACAGTTTGATTGTCGGTAAAAGCTGGAGCTGCTTCGACGGCGAGGAATCATACTTTCTGTAGAGCAGACGGAATAGATGAAAAAAAACAAGACAGAGTTTAATATCTCTGTGGCATGCCACGCTCCAGAGTTGGGTAATAATTATCTATGGCATTGATGGCTGCACATGCTGCCATAGCCTGAAGGTCAGCCCAGGTTAAAGGTTAACCCTGGTTTGTCTGTGATGAATCCATTTGTTGATTAAAAAACCTCAAACTCTTCTATGTTTGACATCAATTTCTCTCTCCTTGTTTTTTATACAGGCAGAAGAGGTGGTATTGCAAAGGGCAAGGGAGGCTCTATGCATATGTATTGTAAAAATTTCTATGGTGGAAATGGGATCGTCGGGGCTCAGGTAGGTTGCAGAAGTCTTTCTGTGTAACGCCTCATTGCTGAACTAAAATATTCTCTCTTAATAATGTAATCAGACCTAAACCTATACATGTATCTGTGTCTTCTTTAAAGGTTCCTCTGGGTGCTGGCGTGGCACTAGCCTGCAAATATAAGGGATCTGACGAGCTGTGTGTCTGTTTGTATGGTGATGGCGCTGCCAACCAGGTAAGACACAGATCGCTGCCATTTATTTGTTTAGAATTTTCACAACGTTGATCAGCCGATACTGCTTATCTCCAATACCCAGGATTCAGGAACATTAACTTGTTCTACCAATTTCCAGAGAATTGGAGCCAGAATCAGCACAAAATAACTACAGATATGAGCTCTGGCTATTGTTTCTGTAGCAATTTTTCAATAGTTTTAAAGATTAATAAATGGCTAATTGCACTTTGGTAAACAGCGCTACATTTTTTTCTGACAGATAACATATAATCATGTATAAAGCAGTCTTTAATTCTGGACTGTTGCTTTATTTTCGGTTATGAGAATAGTTTGAAATACAACATCAATGATTTGATCAAACAAGAAACAGTTAAGCTCGTTCTTGTTGAGGTTGAGCCTCAAAATTTCACACAGGATAAAAATATGCATAATATGCATAAAGGCTCAAATACATACATACATTAATTTTTGTATGTTAACAATTAAGATTCTATAGGTTTCCTTGTTTTTCATGCTCATGATTGCCTGTAACTAGTATTCCCAGTTTAAAACTATACTTTTTGAATAGATAAATTTAACAGAGCTATAGGAAAGTCTGTAAAAGGAAACTTAGATATGGGAAGAGACAATTAAAGATTTGGAACTTTTGGACACACCTCAACATCAATAAACTGTTATAAGTAAGCAGCTTTTTGCCAAGGTCAGGGACAAGCCCCAGATGATCATCCTCAGACAATTGGTGATTTCTGGGCTCTTACTAATCATCAGATGAAAAATCTAAGTTTCTTTATGTGAAATCTGTCAGGGACTGAGAGCTTCCTGATTAATCAAACTGCCCCTGCTTTAAAATGGGCTCCTTCAAGGTAGACCAGAATTAGCAGGTTCCTATAGGGACAGGTGTGTATGAAGGCAGTAGTAGTAGTATCACATGGCTCTATTTGAGTGGGACTGATAACCGTGCATTGGATGGAATAATAAAGACAGAAGAACTCCCAGATCTGTCAAACTTCAGACCTCCTACCTGTTTCAGGTTGGCTCAGTCCAACACACTTGAAATAAAAGACTGGATTGACTTCTTTGAGCCAAATGGTCAAATTGGACATTTTAACCTTATGGTGATCCTAAGAAAACATGAAAGCCAATTTTTATTTTGTATATTTTTATGACTTAATGAAGTTGATTGACATTGAGCCTCGAAATCTTCTGAAATCATCAAACTAAATCCCATTGGGCATTTTGGGATTTCATTTAAAGCCTCTCGGTAAACCAGGCAGGAACCTAATAACCACTTAATAGAAATCTGCAGCAGCTGATTGATGGCCGCAAAAGTTGTGACTTTATAATGTACATTTTACTCAATGTTATTGGCTTTTGTGCATTGATATGAGAGTGATGATTTTATAATAAATAAATGTAATTCTAACTATGTTATTGTAATTGAAGATTTTCTTAGATTTACTGGTTTTTGTTCTTCTCAATGTTAAAATCTTGGTGCTGACTTTTAAAGCTCTCCATGGTCGGCCGTCCTCTGACATTAGAGCTCTGTTGTGTCTTTTTATCCCTTCTTGAAGGTTGAGGTCATTAGATAAGAACTTCTCATGATCTCTTTTAACCGTTTCAAGACTAGAAGAGATCGCCCCTTCTTAACTTATCTTTTTCACAAAGCTTTTTAAACAAATTCTGTTTGTCAGCTTTTTATTATGAATATTTTATTATAATGTTTTATACAGTTTTATCTTTTAATTCTACACATTTGTAAAGCACTTTGCAAACCCGTTGTCTGTGAAAGGTGCCATATAAATGAACCTTTACTTACTTTATTTACTCTCAGCTCCATAAGCTAATCATGCTATCAAAATCTGCCAAAACATAGAATTTCATATTTGATCATTTGCTTGTGTGTTACAGGGTCAGATTTTTGAAACCTACAACATGGCGGCTCTTTGGAAGTTGCCTGTTATCTTCATCTGTGAGAACAACAGGTACGGCATGGGAACGTCAGTGGAGCGAGCTGCAGCCAGCACCGACTACTTCAAGAGGGGAGAATTTATTCCTGGTCTCAGGGTAAAAGATTTTGACATGCCTCCTTTAATCCAATATGCATTGTGTAATATGCATTAGCACATCACTTGGAGTAGTTCTTTTAGATACGATTAAAAAGTTGCAAAAACGATCTAGAAATAAATTAAAATGTCTTAAATTAAGTCTGTTTTCTAGAGCTGAAACAATCATGAATAATCGATTGTTGAAATAATCATCAACTAATTTAATAATCGATTAATTGCTAACCGGAGTTTAGAGACTCTAAAAAGTGTCCGTAGCTGAAAGAGCAACCCACCTTGTGTAGCAATTATACCAAAATTGTAAAAAAAAAGAAAAAAAATATATATATAAATATATGTGTGTATATATATATATATATATATATATATATATATGTGTGTGTATGTATGACAATGCATTTTTTTCTTAGTTTAAATATAAATTATCTTGTTCCATTGGCAAAGTGTCTGCCTTACCTCCTCAATTCAAAAATAAATGTACTTATTTTAAGAAAAAATTACTTTAGATTTCGATTTCTGCTGTGTAAACTTGGGCATCTGATTTTTCTCTATCCTGTTATGGCAGTTTGTTGCAGGAAATACAGGAAATACAGACTATCGTTTTAAACAGCCCATAACTCTTTATTGAAATGACTTCTTTATTTTGTTACTAGGTTGATGGGATGGACATTCTGTGTGTTCGTGAAGCAACCAGATTTGCAGCTGAGCACTGCCGGTCTGGGAAGGTTGGTCTTGATGAAATGCTTGGATTGAAATTTTACATCTACATCTTTTTTTCATTCCTAATGGGTTCTCTTTCTACCATTAAACAGGGTCCAATTCTCATGGAACTACAGACATACCGTTACCATGGACACAGTATGAGTGACCCTGGTGTCAGGTATGTGATCACAACATCTCCACTGTTTTGGTCTCTTGTTACTAAATTGAAAATGTTAATTGTCATGTTCTCTGTGCTGCTGCCCCTTGCTTCTTACTTTTGTTCCTGCAGTAGTCTTCATATATTGTCTCTCCCTCAGTAGTGCCCTTTCAATGCTCTGACAGCCCAGGGATAAACTGAAAAAACTCATCCTGCTATTGGCTTTTGCTTATTAACCTTTACAGGATAACAGACAATCAAAGATAGGATTTTTCTTAATTCTAATTTGTATCCTGCAACATTTGAACGCAGAAATTGCAAATCCTTCACAATAAGTCCAAACACGACCCAAAAGCTGTAAATGTTGCAGAAAATTGTTTTTTTCAGATCCTTATATTTTCTTGGGTGTCTAAGGTCAGTCCTCAAGGGCCAGTGTCCTTAACGTTTTAGATGTTTACCAGATTCAAATTAATGGTTTGTGACCTGTTTTTGTTGAGCTGTATATCTAATTCAGGTGTTAAAGCTGGGAAAGTTCTACAACCTGCAGAATAGCAGCCCTCGAGGACCAACCTCCGACACTCCTTGCATAGTGTAAAATTGTGATTATTGTATTCAACCCCTGCAACATCCCTCCACCAATCTGCTCTTTTAGCTACCGGACGCGTGAAGAGATCCAGGAGGTTCGCAGTAAGAGCGACCCTATCTCCCTGCTGAAGGATCGCCTTCTCAGCAACAACATGGCAAGCGTGGAGGAGCTCAAGGTAACAAATACTTCTGCCCTGTAAAGGAGGACACTGTTAGCCTAAATGAAAAACTATAACAGAGACTCTTTTAATCTTCAGTATGACAAAGTGCCTTAAAGATGTATTAACAGCCTTTAAACTGTTTCACAATACAGCCACAAATGGTAATAATATTTTGTCTTAGGCCTGCTGTCACGTGGTGCATTTCTACGTGGCACCTTTTACGCTGATGCCTTTATGTAAAATCTAGCTGAATAGGCAATGCCCATCTGTGTTTAATTTAATATCTAGTTTGCCAGGTTAGGATTATGACTGATAATTTGCAGCACTTAGGTTTAGTTCCACTCCAATCGGATCTGTTCAGGGGAAAGATCGGACATTCAGCAGAACCCTCTGAGCTGATTGTGCTCTCCTACCAAAGTTTGGTGTTAGCCAATCATGATTCTTGTGTTTGTAAAGACCCAAATACATAGAGAATATAGCTTCCAGGCATGATTATATAAATCCAGCTGTTTGGTAAAAGCCTCACACTTGAAAAACGACCTAGAAGCAAGTAAAAATGTCTTAAATTAAGTGTATTTATACTTAATTTAACTAGGTAAATGAGATTGCCAATGGAATATTTTTACTCTTAAAATAAGATCATTAGATAATATGCACTTGAAATAAGACAATGCAGTTGTGTTTTCTTATTTTAGGTGTAAATAGTCTTGTTCATTGGCAAAATGTCTCTTTTACCTCCTCAATCCAAGAACAAAGGCACTTATTTTATGATAAAATTACTTATCTACATTTCGATTTTTTTTTTTCCCAGTGCAGAGGTTTGCTTGATACTGATACTGATGGCAAAGAGTGTCCAGGTCCCTTTCTGAGTGTGTTTTTTTTTTTTTTCTTTTCTTTCTTCTTTATAATACTTCTGGACTTTTTTGAGTCAGATGCTGAAGCTGTCAATAGTCACTGCTGCCACTTTGTGGTTTAGTGGGAAATAATGTTAAAGAGTCCTTTAAAAAGATTCCTGCATCCGGATTATTATGTGGCTCATCACCAAAGGTGAATGGATTGATCCGTGGACTGAGTAAAAATGTCAGTTCAGGACCTTTCCTGTTATCCTGTACACAGACACAAAGCAAAACACAAGCAAAAACTCTACTTAAAACAGAGCCTCCTTGGCGGAGGTAATAAAGAAAGCCACCATTCACAAGAAAGTTTTTCAGGTTTTTAAATGTCTGGGTGACAAAATAAAACAAACACTTTTCACGAGTCTTAGCTCACAAAATTGCAGAACCTGGAAAACAGACATTCTGTTTTTCTCAGTGGTTGTTTTTGTTGTAGAATTATTTTGCTGTGGTTTGCTACTCTGGGATTATTCTACCAGTGGAGAAAAGAGGAAGTTTTTGCCTGTTCAGAAGGACTTTTTGGTCAGATTTCACACAAATAGGTTTTAATTAGTGAGAATTGGTTAAAAAAGCACTGTAAGCTATTCCATCCTACTTTTATTACTACTTCTCACATTCAGGGTGAAATGATCAGTATTTACATGTTTAGGTGTGTTTATTTACCACTAGATGACCACAGTGAGCATATGAAGTTTGTAATAGACTTTAAGAATAAATACTTTTTTTTTTTTTTTTTGCAAGACATTTGCCAAGAACTTTGAGGTTTTAACAAACCCTCAGTTTATTATCACTAGACATATCCAGGACATAACAAACAGGCTATGAAAATTATTAACATGATGGTGTTTATGCTATATATTCAAATGCTCGGGCAAACCAATACCCCTTCAGAACTCCAGGGGAAAGGTTCAGATTAAACACTGATTCATGTGTTATAGTGGTTCTGTTTTCTTCCTTTTGGAAACTGTTATTCTGTCTTCATCTGCTGCTTTTGATAGTACATATACAGAAGCCTGTTGTAGATATAAAAAGGTTAATAGGAAATAGAAATTGAAACTGATATTCCCTTTGGGATTAATAAAGTAGAATTGAACTTAAATGAAATATTTTTGTAAGCCGCTTTATCCACCCTGCAAATAATTCTGCTGTTTATAGATCTTCTATAGCATAACCATTTGCTTGCGTTACATCTACAGGAGATCGATGTGGACGTGAGAAAGGAAATCGAAGATGCAGCTCAGTTTGCCACTACAGATCCTGAACCCCCTCTGGAGGAGCTGTGCAACCACATCTTTTCCAACAATCCACCGGTTGAGGTGCGCGGCACCAACCCGTGGGCCAAACTGAAGTCTGTAAGCTAATGTTCAAATTGCCTCAGTTCAGCTGTAAAAAATGACTTCTTAGACAGCTATGTGATCACTTCACATAATGTACCGTAACTGAGTGCATCACACCCAGAGCTTTAACCGTTATATTACTGTCACATTTAAAGATGAGGGTCATAAATTGCAAATATGTTCTTAAACTGACATTAAAGGGTTCAACTTTCAGTATTTTCATCCCCCCACACACACTCCACTCGTCATTTAAAATCTGCTACAGACATCAGGACTTAATCTATTACTTTAACTTACTGGTGGTAAGTTTTATGCCCTTTTCTTAGCAGCTCAGTTTCGTTACTTGTAGTGCTCCATTTCTGATATGAAATTAAAACAAATGAAATGACACAGAAACAGAGGATAGGTCATCTCATACATTTTATTGACACTGTTGCCACATTCTCAATAAAATAAATTTATTTATATTTTTGATTAATATTGTGACTGTTGAGCTGTATATGCTGTTTAAATTGCCAGTCCTGATGAATTATTGGAAGTTCCCATCTATCAATTTAACACTTCAAAGAAGTACCTATGACGCTGAACTTAGGCCTCCTAAATTTAAATATTTTTTTTTAGCGTTAAGCACTTGGATTTTGGTTTTCCCCATTAAATGATGGATATTGTTTTCCATATTTACCATCTTGATGTTACGCTCTGGTGATTTTTTTAAGGTGCAATTTAATAAAAATCCCCATGTTGAAACACCTATGTCTTTGAACTCTTTTCCTTTGTTTTCAATAAATCAACTTCGGACTGCTTTTTTTTATCCTGCCTCTTTTTGCTGGACTTCTATTTAAAACGATATATTTCCATTTAATCAAATTATTGCAGAGTTTTCTCATATCTGTATCTGTGCCTGACGGATCTAATGTCTGGAAAATGAATGTGGTGTCTTAGACAAGCTCAGGTAAAATGTTTTATTGCCTATTTTTCTGTTCTTAGAGTATAAGGTGTGGATTTATAATCTGCTATTTATTTCCTAAAACAAGCAATCAGAATCTCCCTACCTGTTGAAAAGTTTATACTAGGTAGTATTAAATCAAAACACCTGAAAATAAACTGATCTTAAGACTTGTGCATGGAGCTTCTCATTTTGGAACCAATAGTCACATTGCTTTTTTTTTTTGCTTAAACTTTTCTTTTCCAGAAAGATTACATATTAGATTAGAAGAAGAGGGCTATTTATGAGACATAAAGAAGAGAATCTCCTCATGAAGATGTGTTGGAATACAAGGCATCCCTATGAACGTGGCTACAATTGCTTGTGAAATACCACATTGCTTGTGGAAAACTTGGATTTGGAGAGGTAAAACTGTAAACTCTTGATCTGAAAATTTCCTGATAACAAGAAAATTAACAAAGCTTTCGGTAAAATATAAATTTGTTTCAATTAGCTTCTTTATTCTCCTTTAATAATTACCGTATTTATTGTGTTATAATCTTAAACTTTTTTATTTATTACTTATTTTTTAAGTACCGGTATTTATTATTAAGAGGTAAGACTGTAAACTCTTGATCTAAAATTTCCTGATAGTATAAAATTTACAAAGCTTCAAGTAAAGCATATTTGTCTTCCACCACACACATCCTGTTGTTGAATTTTGCATCTTCAAATGGGTTTTCTTCCAGTGTTATTCTGCTCATGAGTTGGAAACAGCAGCTTCTGTACCCCTGCCTAAGAGGATCCCACAGCATGACACCTCCACAGTTATGTTTTTCATAAATATTTCAGGGTCAAATTTCTTTATTTTATTTAAAACAATGTTTTCCTTCTATGTTTATCTTTGCCTTTTGATCAGATCAGCTGGCTTTTTTTTTTTAAGCAAAGGTGCTTGTTTTGCCAATCTCCCACAACAGCTAGATATGTTGAAAACATGCTTCTCAAAATAATAACTAACCTGAGCTGTGGATCTTTGCAGCCCCTCTAACGTTAACATGAGGGTTTGGGTTTCTTTTCTGATTGGTTTGCTCTTAATAGGAAAAAGATACAGAGGCTGGAAAGCCTTTCACACTCTTCCTTAAAGGAAGCATTTCATATCACCTCTGATGTATGGTAAGTGATGTCTGAAGGCTTAAATGCCATCACTACATTCACTATGCATTTCATTGGTTTGAAATGTATACTGCAATTTGAAATTTAAGATAGAAAATAATCAAGTACTCTTGATGGTGAGACAAATGTTCCAGCAAAGAAGCACCCGTTCAACTCTTTTGATTGGTTTAAAACCTTTTAAGCCATTTTATTCCTTAAATTGGAAATGTGTTGGTAATGACAGTTGCTTGCACTGGATTTAATTTAGAGGTATTTGATTTTTCAGGCTGAAGACACGTAAACCTTTAAGATCTTATTTATTGCAAAACCAATTATCTGCTTTTACTTTCATACTATGGAGGACCAACTCTGTCATATTTAAAAATAAATACAGAAATAAATAAATAAATGCTCAATAAATAAATAAGCATAAAATTAATTGCCCCCCAAAATACAATAAACAAATGTAGGTAGAAATTAAATTATACAGTGAGACAAATGTATAAATTTCTTTCAATTATCTTCTTCATTTATTCTCCTTTAATAATTACCGTATTTATTGTACGTTATAATCTTTAACTTTTTTATTTATTACTTATTTTTTAAGTATTTATTTATGTGCATGTGATAATATTTTGTATGTTTTTTTCTTCCTTTGTATTTTTTTTTTACCCTATTTATTTCTTTAATACTATTTATTTCTACCATATTTTTAAATATGAAAGAGTTGGTCCTCCCATGTCATTATGATGGTGGAAAAAAGAAACTGTTTAAATTAAGCAGGGAAATTAATGTGACAAGAGTCACCTCATACATTTTCCATCATCTATTAGTGTTTAATTAGCACCAGAAGGTGGCGGTAGTGCATTGATGACTTCAGCTTCAGCAAATTTCCAAACACAGAAGAAGAAGAAAATAAGGAAGAGCGCTTCATTCCAGCGGAAAGTCTGAAACACGTCGATTTCCAGCTACGTGCTCACAGGGAGACGACACAATGGAGTCTGGTCTGAGCCCAAGTGCAAAGGAGCTGCTGTGCGCATTCTGCGCAGCTCTGCTGCTTTTTAGCGCAGCTACATCTGCAGACGAAAGCGCTCACCTGAAGAACTCCCAGTGTCACAACTACGCTGGAGGACACGTCTATCCCGGAGAGGCTTTCCGTGTGCCAGTGTCCGACCATTCCCTGCACCTCAGCAAAGCCAAGAGTGAGTTCCTCCACCTGAATTTTTTATATTTATAAACCCACCGGTGATTAAACATCTGCAGACTGAAAGCGCGCATTCATCTACATGACAGCAGCTGCTGTGAGGGAGAGAAATGCATCCTGGGTATCTATCATTATAAACACTTATTTCCTGGTAGATTTTAAAATCCAATTAGATTTCAGGTCAGAAATAAAAACATTTTCCCATCAGTTGGATTCACTTCTGTAGGACACGTCAGTGTGTGAACTTGATTGGGTGGTTCTGACACATGACCCTGCGATGACAACAACACATGCTCACTCACAGATGTTTATATGTGTATTTATACAAAATACAAACCCTTTTAAAACAGCTTGTCTTATCTAAAGCCTTTCAGCGTGTGGCAGATGTGTTTGGTCTAAGTGCTTCTGCTTATTTTCCTTTTTAGAATAGAAAAATCCCTTTATTGTCCCACAGTGGGGACATTTTGCGGTATATCTCTGCCATATGGTCCATGAATCCACAGGTATAACTTGGTCTGCTTTTAGAAATGACTGACAGCATGCTACTCATTAGGATCATGAGTAATTGGAGACAGAGGTCAAACACCATGAACCCATACTTGCAGTCTGAGTGGTAGGAACAGGAAATGGAGTGAAAGGTGTAGGATTACATTAGTGTTACTGTAACTATTTTTTCATTTGTTTGTCCATTTGTTTTGCTCTCTTGGATTTTATTTGTTCAATCAAAAAATAAAATAAATTAGAACAGATGGATATTAAAAACAACAAAGATGCCTGGATAGAGGGTATTTATCATGAAATAAGACAAATGAATTGTTTTCAAATTCATATTGAATCCTATCCGCTTTCTATTTTTTATTTGTCAAACTAAAGCTAAGTGGATGTTCATTTTGTTGCTCATTTGAGATATTTACTCAACTTTATATGTTTACAAACCTAATAGTTGTTTTATGGATATTTGACCAGGTTTTGCTCTTTAATCCAAATATTATGGAGGAAATATTAGGGTCCTTATACCCTCTGATGAAGTCAGGTAACCTATTAAAGTTGGAGGATTTGAAAGTTCAGAATGGAAAAAAAGAGCATTTTAAATGCATTGTTTGAAAAAACAAATAAAGGGAACCATCAATCATCCTTGGGCTGAATGAAATATTCTCATCAAACATTCTCATTGTTAAAAGTTAAAATGTGCTGAAAGCGAAATCTGACCTAAACCATCAATGGAAATCAAACTTATTAACCAATGGAGGCCTGGATTTGGAGTTGCACACAAAATTAAAGTTCGAGAAACGCTACAAACTGATCCAGCTTTGATGTAATGTCTTTAAAACAGGTCAAAATTAGGCTCAGTATTGTGTATGGCCTCCATGTTCCTATAACCTCCCTACAACTCCTGGTTGTGCTCCTGATGAGTTGATGGATGGTCTCCTGAGTGATCTCCTCCCACACCTGGACGAAAGCATCAACCAACTCCTGGACAGTCTGTGCTGCAATGTGACATTGGTGGATGGATAGAGACATGATGTGCTCAATTAGATTCAGGTTAGGGAAAATGATGGGCCAGTCTATAGCTTCAATGCCTTCATTTTGCAGGAACTGCTGACACATTCCAGCCACATGAGGTCTAGCATTGTGATGCATTAGGAGAAACCCAGGGCCAAGTGCACCAGCTCACAAGGGGTCTGAGGATTTCATCTCGCTACCTAATGGCAGTGATGCTACCAATTTCCAAAGAAGTACCACCCCGCACCATTACTGACCCACTGCCAAACTGGTCATGCTGAAGGATGTTGCAGGCAGATCGCTCTCCATGCCATCTCCAGACTCTGTCACGTCTGTCACATGTGGTCAATATGAACATGCTTTCATGTGTTAAGAGCACAGGGCGCCAACTGCAAATTCACCGATCCTGGTTTTCGCTGGAAAATGTCACTTGTCCTGCAAGGTAGCAGTCCTACTGCTGGGTTATTGCCCTCCTAAGGGCCTCCTCCATGTCTCCTGGTGTACTGGCTTGTTTCCTGGTGGCATCTCCAGCCTCTGGACACTATGCTGACCGACAGAGCACATCTTTTTGCCACAGCTCGCATTGATGTGCCATCCTGGATGAGTTGCACTACCTGAGTCTCCTGTGTGGCTTTTATAGTCTTCCTCATGGTACGACGAGTGTGATAGCACCACTAATTTTAAAAAGTGACCGAAACATCAGCTAGAAAGCATAGGCACTGAGAAGTGGTCTGTGGTCCCCACCTGCAGAACTAATCCTTTATTGAGTGTGTCTTTCTAATTGCCAATAATTTCCACCTGTTGTCTGTTGCATTTACACAACAGCCTGGGAAATCAATTGTCAATCAGTGTTGGAAACTTTGGTTTCACAGAAGTTTGCTTTAATTGAAGTTGTACTGTGTTGTTTACATGTTCCCTTTTATTTTTAT